TTTAAAAACTTTTATACAAAAAGGGCAACCCCGGTTTCCAATTAAAAACACAATTTTTTCCTTTCAACCCCATAATTTTTTTTAAAAAAAATGGGGCGTTTTTTTTACCTTTTCTTTTAATAAAGATTAATAAAATTTGATAAAGGAGGGGTTTTTTTTTTTTTTTTTTTTTTTTTTTTTTCGCTCTTCAACAAATAGATAAATTAAGAAATAAAAAAAAAATGACAAAAAAAAAAAAAACGAAAAACACACACAAACACATACATTTGAAATTTGATTAATTATAAATTTATTTATTTTTTTTATTTTTTTTTATTATATTATTTATATAAATATAAATATGATTATATATATGTTTGTTGACAATTGATTTTTTTAAAAAAGAAAAAATTAGATATAGATCACAATAAAAAAATATATTAAAAACGAACAATAGTAAAAGAAGAAAAAATCTATTTTTTTAAAAATGTGAGAGGGGGCGAAACAATTAAGATTTTTTAAATATTAAAAATGGCTATTAAAACCAGTGGCAACATCATATTATTTAAAAAAAAAAAAATTAAAAATAAAAAACAACAAAAGTTTCAATTTAATTTTTGCATGGTGAATTTTTTTTGTAATTAGGGAATATCTTGTTTGCAACCAATTCCACTTTTTTTTTTTTTTTTTTTTTTAAAATTTTAATATAATAATTGTGTACAATAAAAAAATTACATACCTAAAAATCTATAATAGATTAACGTAACTTTAGTGGCTTTATGGTGTGGGTTTTTTTTATTGAAAGAAAAAAAAAAAAATCGTATAATGACACTCCAAATCAATTTTTTTTTTTTTTTTTTAAATTATATAATTATATAGTAATTCCTTTGAGAATAAAAAAATTAAAAATATAAAAATAATATCAATATAGTTAATATAATATTATATTGATAGGAAATTATATAGATGGTAGAAAAAAATTTTAAATTTTTTAATAATAATAGATAGGAAAGAGAAAAAATCTATGGGCAATTGAGATATAATAAAAATCAAATTAGGTTTTTTTGGGTGAATGAAAAGATTTAAAATATATTTTGCTATATACCTAATAAATATAAATTAATAAACCTTCAATAAACCTTTTATAAATGTAAATTCAATTGTAAAAAAAATTATTTATAAATAATAATAATTTATGACTTTTTAAAAGTCGCGATTTATTTGTTGATCTTTGCTTTAGGGTTTTAGTGTGTATTGTTTTTGAATCAATAAATAAATCAGTTTTAATAAAAAAAAAAAAGTAATAACAGAAAAAAACTTTTCACCCACACTACCACTAATACAATTTAGTCAACAAGTTTTTTATCACAGAAATTATTACTATATATACTGTATTATTTATTAATTATTAATTTTGATTATTATTTTTATTATTATTATTGTAATTGTTGTTTATTATTGTTGTTTATTATTGATTATTGAAAAAAAATAAAAATAAAAAATAAAAGAAAAAATAATGTTAAAAAAAAAAAAAAACCACTTCCTAATGAATGAATTTAGGTTTCTTTGTGAATGTGTTTAATTTTTTTCTTTTTTTTTTTGCTACAACAAATAAAATTATATTTCTCTATTCATATGTAGTCGGTGTGATACCCAAAAACAATTTTTTTTTAAAGCTAATTTATACGGAAAATCTCTTTCGCAAAAAAAAAAAAAAAAAATTTTGTGGAAAAAAAAAATTTGTAAAAAAAATGTTACATTCCAATCATTTTATTGGTTGAAATTATTTTTCATTTTTTTATTTTTTATTTTCATTATTTATAATTATTATTATTTATCTTTAATTTTTTTTTTTTAAATCTAACAAAACAATGGTTGATAGGATACCTTTTGGTTAACAAAAAAAAAAAAAAAAAGTGGGTGGGGTTTATAAAAATATCAAAATATATTTTATAAATGATTATATATAAAATTTCAAACCATTTTTTTTATTTTTTTTTTTATAAATTAAAAATATATTATTTTACGAAAAAAGAGAAAAGGTTTGATTCTTTAAAGGTTCAATCATTTGATTATTTATTAATAAAATTGTTGAAATTGATTTTTTTATAAATAGATAAGCAAATAAATAAATTAATAAATAAAAATTGAAATTTTGTTTAAAATTTTATTATATATTTTATTAATTATCATTATTATTAATATTTGATTGGGAAACACGAATTCTCTTTCTATCATCTAATAATTCTTTAACAGATTCTCTCTTCTTTCTTCTCTTTTTATCTTTTGTTAATTGTCTCTTTTCAAGTTTTTGTTGAAGGAATTCTTTTGGATTTGTTACTTGGAAAATCTTTTTATCTTCTCTTCTCTTATTTCTTAATTCTGTAGTGGCTTGAATAATACCTTGGTAAATATTCATAAATTTGCTTGACCCTATTTTCTTCTTTAATAAATCAATAACTTCTTGGGCTAATTTTCTTTCTTGTGCTATATTAAAAATAAATAAATAAATAAAATTAATAATCAAAACCAGCCAAATTGTTTTTTTTTTTTTAAAATTACTTACGCGAACAACGAATCTTTTCATCTGTGCATTTAATTAAAGGAATTAATAAAATTGAGAGATATGGCATTAATTCTTGGGTAGTAAGTTGAGTTGAAACAGCAGCAATCCATCTGAAAATATATTTTCTTCTTAATAAACCTGGCTTGGTTGACATGTATGATAATCTCTTAAATAACCATAATAAAATTGAGGATTCTTGTTCTTGTGGTTTTTCATCAACTAAATCATCATCATCTTGTTCATCAACTTGTTGATCCATTTCTTCTTGTTCTTGTTCTTGTTCCTGTTCTTCTTGTTGTTGTTCTTCGAGTTCCATTTTATCATCATCATCAACATTATCTTGCTCTTCTTCTTTTTGTTCATCAAACTCTTTAATATCTAAAAATATATTTGGAGTGATATCATTATTATTATTTAATTTAATTATATTACATTTATAGAATAAAATTGAAAGATAAATTAAATTTTTGATGATAGTTAAGCCAAGTTCGTCAGTTAATAGTCTACTATTTAAAATTGAACAATGCTTTTTGGTGATTTCAAAGATTGATTTTGAATTAAATAATGTATTGAAAACAGGTGAAAAGGTTGGTTTGGTTGCTGTTGATGATTTCTTTTTGATTGTATTGTTTTCTAAACTTGTTATTTGATTAACGATTGGAATGGTATTTAAAATTGAATTTTGTGTGAAGAAAATATTATATAATCTAGTTAAACTAGTTCTAACCCAAATGTGTGGATAATTTAAAAATTCGATTGAAATATTCCAAAATTCGTTCATTTCTTGAAGAGTTGCAACCTTTGGATGATTGGAGAGGATCTTTTCAAATGATGTAAAGATGGTATAGGTTAATTGCCAACCTGGAAGGACTTGGGATGCATTTTGGGTTTCTTCAGAGATTTCATCTATAATGGTGAGGGACGCTTCTTTCTCTTTTAATGAGATTAATGATTGTTTAATAAATTGAACAGAGTGTTTGATAATGTTTGAAACATTGTTTTCAAAGTTTGAAAGTGAGCCAGAGATTAAACCGAATACTTGAGCCGATGTTTTAGCTAAGGCTAAATTGTTTGAGCTTTTTTCAAACCATAACATTGTAACATCATAAATCTTTTGTTGATTTTGTGGACTAACACCTTTGGCTAAGAGTTCTATATTTTCTCCTACTAAAAGACGACATTGTGTTGATGGATCTGCGTTTAAACGGACTACTAATGGAGTAAAAATAACAATGGCATATTGATTTAATACTTCTTGTGGGAAACGAATGATGATTTGATTTAAAGTTTTCAAAACAATTAATCTACCATCTTCATGTTCATAGGTAAGATTCTTTAGAAGGAAGGCTACTTGTTGTTTTAAACGATTGTCACCCATTGGATAGAATAAAAGGAAGTCTATAAATATAGTTGAGATTAAAGATGAAATTGATGGCTTGAATGATCTAATCATCATTGAGACACATAAATCCATAAGGTCGTAAATTTCTGGTAATAAAACTTTACGTTTAATTAAAGCATGAAGCATTTTTAATGATCTTGTGATGTTTTGTTCGTTTGATGTTAAATGTTGACGGGTTAGAGTAAGAATACCTTTGAGTTGATCTTCGTTAATAAGTTCAGATTTGGTATCACGGAGAAGTAAAGTAGCAACTTCATAACAGGTGTTGGTGATTTTTTCATTACCTGAATCTAATTGAAGTCTCTTTAAAACTTGTACAGTAAGGCTCTTTGATGATGTTTTAACACTTGGTAAATCAAAATTGAAAATTCTTAAAAGACATTTCAATGAGAGATAAACTACTCTTGATTGTTTATGCTCTAAACATTTGGAAATATAGGATACAAATGGATCAATCATTGCCTTGTATTGTTCGATATCGGTTGAGTTATGAATTTTAATAGCTTGAATTAAAAGACTAAAACCAAGTTCGGTAAAGATGAATGAAAGTGTTTCTAATTGACGAACGTTTGGTTCATTTTTTTTCTTTGATGGATCTGCTTGAATAGAGAATGTTTCTTCAAAAGTTGGCTTTCTAGCAACACCAATCGAATTATCAAGAGTAATAGTTTTCTTACGATTATTGATTTCACCATCTCTAAGACCTTTGGTAATAAATTGGTATGTAATGATTGATAAATTCTTGAAATCTAATGACTTGTTTAATCTAAGACCTTTGGAGATCTTCTTCATCATTTCTTCAAGATTTGGTAAGAGTTTGGGTGAGTTTGAAATGGTGATAATTTCTTCAATTGGTTTAATAATTGAATCTGTGTTACTGAAATGAATAATGTTGGCTAAAATACGAAGAGAGTCAAATGATTTAACAGTCTTGGCTTCTGGGTAGGTATCTTGAGTATTTTTGTTTTCTCTTTGGGTTGCTTGTTCACCGAAAAGATCTTCAATAATAATTTCCATTAATGATGGTACTTGACTATCTAAAACGCCTGGTTCAATTTTCTTGGAAAGGGTGTTAAGTAAAGCATGAAGGGTGTGGCCTAAAACATATTTTTGATAACCACTCTTTAAAATTGATTTCATATCTTTGAGGATATATGGGAAGAAACGGAAACCGAGGGTATCCATAACTTGAACAAGGGTGTTTCTTGTAGTATCACGTACTTCGAATTCTTTACTCTTTAAACCAATGCAGAGTTTACCAATAATATTTGGATACAATAATTTTGAAGTGGCGTTTGGTAAAAGCTTATAAAGTTTAAGAATTGCAAGAGCAATTGATAAATTAACTACACCTTCATTTCTTTGTCTTTCGGCAATAGCAGCACTACCGGTATCCATCTTTGAACTGGTAATAACTTTTTGTTCGATTAAATGCTTTTGAAGTGATGGAGTGAGAACTGATGTAATGGCTTGGAAAATTTCTTCAGAGATGTTTTTGGTTTTTACGATTTTAGTGCCAATAGATCTCTTCTTTCTCATTTTAATAGTTGTGTTTGCTTGAGTTTTTGAAACCTTTAATACACCATTTTCATCTTGGTCCTCTTCATTGTACTCAGTAACTAAATTGTTTTGTTCATTTTCAATCTCTCTTAATTCTCTTTCTTCATCATTTAAATCTTCATCATCCTCATCGTCTTCATCGTCTTCTTCTTGATCATCTTCGGTAGTACCATCTTGTTGTTGTTGTTGATCGTCTTTAATTTCTTGACCTGTAACCAATTCTTTTCTGACTTCAACTTCATCAATGAAAAAGTGGAATTCATCAATGACTTCACATACTGATTTAACAAAGAATTTAAATCTACTTGGATGATCGTCCATGGTTGAAATTAACTTTCTTAATAATTGATAGTAACCTTTCCATTCGAGGTTTTTAGCAAGAACACCCAATGATTTAACGACCTCACCTAAAATAGCAGAACCATGGTCTTTAATAGTTGTTTCGAGAATTGCTTGAACTGAAAGTGGTAAGATAAAGTGGTTTATAGTTTCAATTGAAAATTTGTGAGTTTCGGCAACGTTCTTTAATTGAAGGAATGAAAGTCTCTTTCTATGCTTTTGAATATGAGTGTAATTTATAATGAAATTTTTGTCGTCTTCACCAATACATAAAAGTGGTAAAATATCTGGATAGAATGATTTGTGGCCTTTGAACTCTACTAATAATTGATTAAATAATGTTAAATATTCATCTCTAACTTCTTTATCGTTGTATGATGAACGCATAGATTGAATAAAAATAGTAGTGAATAAATTGATCTTCTCGTTGGTTTCTTGATCATCTGATTCACCATTTTCATTGATTTTTTCGGATACTATTTTGATTAATCTTGAAATACCAGTTGTAGCACTGCTCTTAATTGAATAATCCTTATCTTTAAGATAAAATACGAAATTGATAAACAATGGTAACAATTCTTTATGGCCAATTCTATGTAAAAGATTATCATTAATATAGTGATAACCTTGTAAACGTTTGTCGTAATCATAGGTTTCTAATTGTACAGATTTCTTTGTGAATGCATTGATCCTTTCTAAATATGGAGCAATCTCTTTTAAGTATGGAACCTTATCACCCAAAACTAAGAAAATTTCTGAAAGAGTTGAACGAGTTAAACGAGTTTTAAAGACACCAAAAAGAGTTGAAAGAGTAGGTACATGCTTCTCGGGATTGTCGATCAAGCTTAGCATATTTTTGAAAATAATTAAAATTGAATAGACAAGGTCGTCGTCATCTTGTAGTTTGTTATATCTAAGGAATGGAATTAAAAGCTCTAATAAATCACTAGCTTGTTGTGATGATTTAGCAAATTTAGAGAGTTCTGATAAAATTAAGAGTTGTCTCTTTGAGAGTTTACTTGGATTTAATGATAATGTTTCGCTGGTAGATGATTTCTTTGATGAACGAAGTAAAATGGTTTTAACTGAATTTATAATAGAGTCAATATGTGGGGTTAAGACCTTCATATAAATTTCATTGATTGATGGCTCGGCTTCATCTGGGTCAACATTTAATAATATATTTTCGATGATTGAAAGGAAAGCATCTTGGTGTGGTTTGTGAGTAATGAATGAAAGAATGGTTGGTAATAATTTCATATCTTGATTTAAATAACCAACTAATGATGGATTTGATGAAACTACTAAAAGACATCTTCTTAAACCAACTGGTAAACCATAGGCATTTAATGTTGGTAAAATGGATGAAAATACATTGAAAAGCTCTTTGACATACGATTTATAATCCCAAGATTGGTATTGTTGGAAAATTTCGGAGAATCTACGGAAAGTTAAAGATCTTATTGAACCAACGATCTTTGGTCTTTTATCTTTCGAATTTACAACGTTGGTAATTAGAGAGTTATTGGAAATTGCTAAAAGAATTTTAACAATATCATCTAAAAATGGTGTTAATAAAGAACCAAGTTGTTTAATTGATGCTTGTAAAATATTTAAAAAGTAAGCTTGGGCATCGAAAGATGGTAACAATGATAATGATGATTGATCAATTGGACCAGTAGACTTTAAGTTCTTTGATAAAAAGCTTTGGAATGGTGCGAGGATTCTTCTTACAATTGGTTCTAATTCTTGACTAGTCAAACCAGAGAAATAAGCGAAAATAGTTAGTCTTTGAGAGCCAACTGAACTACGAGTAACTTTACGATTTAATTTGGATAAAAGAATTTTAACAACAATATCAATAATTTCTTTTCTGTGACTGCTGTCGATGGAACTATTTGGTGAGTCTTTGGCAATAATGAATTTGGTCATTTCTTCTCTCATTGATTTATCTTGAATAAGAGATTCTAAATTCTTTTTATATGGTGTAACGGATGGATTAGACCACAATAAATAACATTGGAGCGATTGGAATTGAACTTTTGGATCATCAATGTCAATGCAACGATAAAAAAGATCTCTCATCAACTTTTCTTGATATATCTTTGTTGGTTTTTTGAATTGTGAGAAGAATTCTAAATAATAAATTAATAATTGTTGAGCTTGAGATTTTGAATATGGCTTAGGTGTAGATCTCTCTTGGACTAAATCTTTAAAGTCGAATGGTAATGGTGATTTGAATACCTTTGAAAATTTATTATAATCGTTTCTAACGAAATCTAAAAACAAGGTGATGATATCTTTTGATTGTGATTCAATCAATGAGCCAATCATAGACATTGTTTTCCAGAGTGTCGAGTTATAGCTGATTGGATCAGTTGATGACAATAAAATATTTTTTGCTGTAATTTCAATGGACTTGTTATTTTCTAAATTTAATTTTTCTAAAACTTCATCATATAAAAATAATAAATTTAATTTATCTTTGATGACTAATCTCTCGAATGAAATATGATTGAAATTTGATTCTTCTTCTACAAATTCTTTAACTTGTTTATCTTGAGTTTGTTTTTCTTTATTTTCCTCTTCCTCTTCTTCTTCTTCAATTAGCTCTTCCTCTTCTTCTACTTCGTCATCCAACATTTTATCTTTATTTAAATCTAATAAAGTTTGTTCAGAGTTTTGTAAAGTTTTATAGAGTGTTGGATAAAAGTTTGATGAATCTTTTTTACAAAAAGCAACTATATTCTTTTGAACTGCATTCCATAATGGTGTATAACGAATGTAAAGGCAACCCATCATATAATTGTAAAGTAATTCATTTAAAAATGGAACTTTGAAGTTTGAATAAATTGAACCAATAGCCTCCATTTTTGATGAAACAGTACGAGCCTCGTGCACATGGTATTGAGTAGTTTCAATTTCATAGCAATAACCTAAAACCTTTTGAATATCCTCATCTTGCTCACTTTGACCTTTTGAGCATAGATGAATATTCTTTAATGTTGAAATGGTTTCTTTTCTAATTGAATTATGTTTACTTGATAAATTATTATTAAACAACTTTAATAACTCCTTAAATAATTCGATATTAATTAAAACTGGTGATGATTTCTTTGTTGGTTTCTTTGTTGAACTTGAGGATTCTGAGTTTGTATCTGATAAATATAATTTTTCAAAATAAATTGAAGATAACTTGAGTATATTTAAATTTGATGGATATGACTTTAATAAATTTAAAATTCTATTTGATAATGATGGTAAATCTGAATGTGATAATTTATATAAAAGAATTGAGTATGAAATTAAAGATTGTGATAATAAATAAATTAATGGTTCAACTTCTTTGGTGTTGCTGCTGCTGGTTTTAGCCCAGTTTAATCTTGACTCTAAAAGACTTGTAGTTTTCTCTAAAATTGATAAAATTGTTTTGTTTTGAGTTAAGCAAGTTATACACGAAATAAGAGCCCATAAACTACTTGAGTTGAAATCTTGTTGTTTGAAATTAAAATTAGTGTTGAAATTTGATAATAAAAGTTCTAATTTATTAGAAAGGGTTGGAATATTAATCGATGGAATGGCATCAGCGTACAATGGCTCTTCATTTTCATCCATGGCATAGACTCTAATTACAAATGATAACATTTCATTTACATCCATTTGATCGGTATTCTTGTCTAAATATTTAATTAAACGGTTTGATATAGTTGGATCTAATAAATGGTCTTTTTGAATACTTGTGCAGAACTGGAAAATTAATAAATGTGAATTTTGAATACCTTGAATTGCAAAGAGATTATCTAAGTATCCCAACATATTTCCACGGTACTGATTGTAGTGAGCTTTGGCGCTCATCGAAATTGCGAATGCTTTTGCTAATACGCCCAATATGTTTGTTGAGCAGAAATCGTTTTCAATAAAAACTTTTAAAAAGATGGTATTTGTAAAAAATCTATCCATTATGAAAAATATATCACCAACATCTATAACTTTACTGCCGCCTTGTATCCAATCTTTAATTATTATAAAATAAGTTTCGATTTGATTTGATAAATTATTAATATATTCTTTAGTTATATTTGATGATTTAGCTGCTAATGTAGTTGATTTTTTATTATTAGTTGATTTTTTATTTGCTGAAATTGTATTATTATTTAATAATTTTAAATTTTCTAAAATTAAATTGGATTCATTTTTTAATGTCACCCAAATTGGTAATAAATTGCTACCTTCATTTTGACCGTGATATTTAATTAATTGAAATAATGACACTATTACTTTATTTTTACAATCAGATGAACATATTGAATAATCGGGATTTAATTTCTTTAAATATAATGGTAAAATATGCTCTGTTCTTGAATGGAACTTTCCCTTAACACCCTTTACTGAATGGAATAGTAATATTGAAAATGCGTCTATATATTCTTCTTCAAATTGATTCTCTTGTAAATGTGTAAATAATTGATCGAGTGTCAAGTCATACTCTTCAAATGTAATCTTTCTTAAGAAAAATGCAATACTTTCTGCTGCAAACTTTCTAATATATTTTCTTTTTTGGAAAAATAATTCGGAATATACTCTGTTAATTTTATAATTAATGAAATTAATTAGTATTGGGGGAAATTTAAAAAAAAAATTAAAAAAAATTAAAAGGGGTAAAAAATGTGGTTGTAAATAATTCATAACAAAAAAACCTACTCGTATAATTGGAAAAAATTTGGTATAATTTGTTTTTCTAAAAACTTGAACATATAACAAATTGAAGTAAAGACCTCTTCAATTGTTTCTGAATTATTTGTATTTTTTAAAACAGTAATTAAAACCTTTAAAATTTTATAAAATGATTCGTAGAACTCTGATCTTAAGTCTCTTGATAATGCTGCTAAAATACTTTAGAAATATAAAAAAGTATTAATAAAACAATTCTTTTTTTTTTTATTAATTATTGTTGCAATCAACAATACTAAAATACCTACCTTAATAATGGTTTTAATGCAGTTGAATTGTCAATTGAAATATGTTGTAATAAAATATCTATAATTTTTTCTTTATGAATAATTATTTCTGGGAGACTGTTGTGATATTTACGAATATGAATTGTAAAATTATTAAAGTGTTGGGTTAAATTCAACTCTCTCCATGCGAGAATTGTTTGGTGAAAATAAGAGTCATTATCATCTTCTAATTCAATTACAACATCTCCTACTTTATTGAAAATATTAATATCGATGTTTGAAATTTTTTCTGAAAATGTTTGAAACTAAAAAAAAAATTTATAAATATTTTGAAAATTAAATAAAAAAAAAAAAACATAAGTGTGGTACTACTTACTCTAAATGAATTAGCTTTTGATGTTAACTTTACTTCATTCTGTGTTACATCATAGTAATCGTCTAGTTTTTGAGATTCAATAACCTCGGATTCGATTTTCTTTTTTTTGTTGTTGGAAATTTGATTACTGTTTGATGACATTGTTTTATTTATGTATAGATGTATATTTTTTATAGTTTTATTTTTTTATTTATTATATATATAAAAAAAAAGAAAAAAAATAATAAATAAATAAAATAAAGGGTTTAGTATATACACTCTATTCAGTCAACAAAAATAACTAGTTTTTTTTTTCGTTTTTTTTATTTAATTTTTTTTTTTTTTTTCTTTAAAAATATTTTTTATTTTTTAATTTTTTTAATTTTTTTTTTTTTAATTTTTTTTTAAATTTTTTTAAAATTTTTTAAATTATCTTTTTTTCAAAAAAAAAAAATTACAAAGACACAATCAAGATTAATAAGGCTAATCATTTAATATATATATTATATATTTAATATATGAATACATATATTATCGAGTAAAGAATAACATCACAATAATACCAAACAACTATATCATTATATAAAATTGGGTTTTTTAAAATAAATAGTATTAAATATATATATCATATTTTTATATTTATTTGTTTTTAATTAAATTAAATAATATAACTATATAAAAGGATATAATTTGTATATATATATATATTTTTAAACCCTAATTTTATTTAAAATTTTATTTTTTTATAAAATAAAAAAACAATATATAAAAATCTAAAGTAATATCCTTTTAAACACCTTTTTTATTCTGTTTCTTTTAATATTAATATTGTATATATATGGTGTTGTTATATATAATCGATATATAATTATAAAAAACTTTTTTATTGTTAAATTATAAAAAAAAAAGAGGATATTAATTTTTTTAAAATTTTTTTTTTTTTATTGCATTATTAATATTAAATTATTAATAACACCTTTTTCATATTTACAGTGTATCAACCAAAAAATTTAAAACAATGTAAAAATATTGCTATTTATGGTTACTGTAGAAATCAGGATAAATGTGAATTCAATCACGACTTAACACCTCAACAAAATTCGAATAATAATAGCACCAACCAAAACTCATCACAACCAAATTTACAATCCTCAACCAATTCTTCGACATCATCATCATCATCAAACTCCAATACCAACAATACAATTATAAGCCCATCAAATTTAACCTCACCTTTAAAAAAATCACCAATGTAATATACACTTTATTTTATAGAACAGCTTTATTTTAGATTAGCTCTTTATAAACTTTTAGGTTGGATGAAATATACTAATTTATAATTTAAACTTATTTATAGCGATAACCTGACAAGTCACTTTCAAAATTTAGGCACAGGAAATCAGCAATCGGGTCATCATCATTGGGCTGATCATTTTCAATCGGGTATCCCAGAATACATACCAAAACAACAATTACAACAATTACAACAGCAACATCAACAACAGCAACATCAACAACAACATCAGCAACATCAACACCATCAACCACAGCAACACAATATGATGATGAACAACACTATTACCAATATGATGGTGTAGATGACTATGACCATCTTCAATATGTATGTTTGATTAATTTTAATTATTGGTTTTAAGAAATGTTACTAATATTTTATTAATTTAGGAAATGGAAATGAATGCACCATTTATAATGAACAACTATGCTTTAGCTCAACAACAACAACAACAACAACAACAACAACAACAACAACAGCAGCAACAACAACAGCAACAGCAACAACAACAACAGCAACAATTAAGAAATGTATCACCACAATCATATCAATATCAAACAAACCAACAATATTTATTACAACAACAACAACAACAACAGCAACAATCACAATCACAAATTCAAAACCAATTACCACAATCTCAAAGTCAACATATCAAGCAACCACAACAATCACAATCCCAACCAATCCAATCACCATCATCACAACCATCATCAGTATCCTCAACATCATCAACTAATAAAATATTACAACAACAACAACATGCTTCACTTCAACAACAACAATTACAACATTTGCAACAATTACAACAAATGCAACAATACTCACCATATCCACAATATAGTCAATCATTAATAAGAAACAAACAAGGTAGAAGGAATATGGGTTCATTCTTTATGTCTGAATCTCTCAAGCAAGACATAGTACACCAAAAACAATTATTATATATGACCTTAGATCCAAATGGTAATTATTTTTTTATAAAAAAAAATTAAAAAAAAAAAAATATTAACTCAAAAAATAATTTTTTTAGACCCAAGAATTAAAAATATACCACCAATGTTAAATAAATATCATTCATTATACCCATTAGACCAAGATGGTGCAAAAGAGAATCAAGGCAAAATGTTTGGATATGTTACTTCAGTATATAAAGCAATTTGTACACAAGATGGTTTACCCTATGCAATTAGAAGAATTGAAGGATTTAGATTATCAAGTGAATATGCATTGCAAGCAGCTGAATCTTGGAGAAATCTTCAACACCCAAATATTGTTTCATTAAAGGAAATTTTTGTTAGTAAAGAGTTTGGTGATAATAGTTGTAAGTAAAAAGATTTAGCAAATATAAATATATTTTATTTTATCATGCTAATAACGAACCATTCTTTAGCCTTATTTTTTACATATGACTATTTTCCAGGATCAGAAACTATTGAAAGTAAATTTTTAAGCCAACCAAATCAAACATCATTCCAACCAATTTCAGAATCAGTATTATGGAGTTTCATTACACAACTTGTATCAGCATTAAAAACCATTCACTCTTTAGGATTAGTATGTCGTGTCATACACCCAAGCAAAATATTATTAACAGGCAAAAATAGAATTAGATTGAACGGAGTGGGCATATTTGATGTTGTTAACTATGACTCACCAAGAAATTTAGCACAATTCCAGCACGAAGATTTATTATTATTGGGTAGATTAATTTTAACATTAGCATGTCGTTCTGCTGCCTCTATTACAGCTCAAAATTTATCAAACTCAATCGAATATGTATCCAACACCTATTCCAAAGATCTTTACAACCTCATAGTTTATTTATTAACAAAACCAGTTATCAACCTCCCAAACATCGACGAAGTTGTAACAATGATAAGTGGTCGTCTTCTTCAAGAAAACAATTATTTGCACACCTATACTGACGATTTAGAAACAGAATTGGGTAAAGAGTATGAAAATGGTCGTCTTTTTAGATTAGTTACAAAGCTAGGCTTTATCAACGAAAGACCTCTCTATGATATGGATCCAAGATGGTCTGAAACTGGCGACAGATACCTCATCAAACTATTCCGTGACTATATTTTCCATCAAGTCTACGATGATGGCACACCAGTTTTAGATTTTTATCATGTAGTTGAAACCCTCAATAAATTGGATTGTGGCGTTGATGAAAAAATTTTATTAATGTCAAGAGATGAACAAAGTTTACTTGTAGTCAGTTATAAAGATTTAAAAAAATGTATAGAATTAGCTTTTTCTGAATTGGTATCTCAAAAATCTCATTTAAATTAATAAAAGATCTATCATATCAACAATCAATCAATTATAAAAAAAAAACTAAAAAAAAAAACTAAAAATAATAATAACAAAAAAATTTAAAAAATTTAAAACTTTAAAAAAAAAAAAAATAAAAAATAAAAATTAATTATTAAAAAAAATATTATCTGTTTTCCTATTCTGGTTTTTTAATTATTTCTTTTTTCCATCTTATGATTGTTTCTTTTTTCTGCATTATATCTAAACTACAACTACAAAATTTAATATAAATAAATAAAATAAATAAAAACTGATGCATAGATTATTGCGAAACTATATGTTTATTTAGTTTTGAACAACTTTGGTTTGTAAACCTTTGAAGCTCTTGACGATGACTAAACTGGCAACGGTGTATAATTTTTCTTCAGCGTTTTCGTCTTCGTTTCTCTTTTTGGTTAAGACAACACGGACACGGTGTGGGACGTTTTTGATACCTTGGCTCCAGAGGAATCTGTTTAATTTGTTATCGATACGGACATCTTTGGTACCCATAACTTTTTGAGCGAAAAGTTTGATTTGTTTAACGGCTTTTGGGGCTCTATCCTTGAAGGTACTGTAAAAAAAAGAAATGTTATATTATTATTCATGTTCAAACCTCATAGAGGAAATTAATTCAGATAAACAAATTCAGAGGCAGAGTTTTGGTAATACATCCATGCATCTATTAAAAAGATACAAGGTGGTGGCAGAATAATCTGCTCTTGTATACCCTACCTCAAAAGAGGTAGATACAAAACACCTGACCCTGTAAATGATTATCCGTAAGGATTAATCTTTTACATACGTGCCATAGAGTCTCTTGTGGAGATTGATGGTATATTCACGAGATACAGTTTCGGCCATTTTTCAATTATATGTCTGTGATAGTGGATTATCTATAACAAAAAATAATTAAAAAAAATTTTAATGCTCGTGGTGGTTGCGCGTTTCCCAAAAAAAAAATTTTTAAAAATTTTTTTTTTAAAAAAAATTGTAACGAAATTTTTTAATTATTTTTCGTATTTTTTTGATTAATTTTGAAATAAATAAAATAAAATCTTTTAACTTTTAAATTATTTTAATAAAATTTTTTATCAGATTATATAACGTCCATTTTTTGAACATAATTTTATTATTACCATTTTTATTTTTTATTTTTTTTTTATATATATTAAAAAAGATTTGATTTTTTTTTTTTTTCATAAAAAAATTTTTGTGTTTGGTGATTAGTTTATTATAATTTATTAGTTTATTATTTATAATTAAAAATTGATGAAGTTTAGTATTGATTAAAATTTATAAGATTTGTCGACATCGCTCCATGGGAATTTATCTCTAAGGGCTTTTGAAAAGATTTTTTCAACAGGAATACCCCATTTCTTACAGAAGCTAACAGTAATTCTTGGATCTAAATAGTTGATTTTACTGGTACCTAAAGCAACAGTTTTTAATTCATCTTTGGTGGTTTTTTGGATTTCTAATTTTTTAATTTGTTTTTCGTATTTATCGATTTTGTCATTGATTTTTTGTTCACCATCTGGAATGTTACGTGATCTTTCGAATGTAGCTTTGGTATCGAATGAAACTTCTTTATCAGTTTTATTTTCTTCCTTCTTTGCAATATTTGCTTCAATTAATTTCTTTAATCTTTCTTTTTCACGTTCTTCAATATCGTCTTTGTCAGAGGTTTTTGGTTTTAATTTTAGTTTAATTCTGCACAAGTCAATAAGATCGTTGTACTCTAAAATCTTATCATCGATTTTGCCTAAGGTCTCAGATAAATTCTTTGGTGGAGCTTTTTGATGGTTACATAAAATAGCGACTTCACGATTGCAACGGTTGTAATAGAGAATTTTTTCCTCGATAGTAGAGTATTCGCTTTCATCCATTTTATTTAATTCTTTTTGAAGAGTAATTGAGGCATTGTAAGTACGGAATACTTTGGCAGAGAGACCATCCATTTGTTTCTTTAAGTGAGTATTGAGTTGAGCAACTGAAAGATCATCAAATAATAATTCGCTTGGTTTTTTACCTTTAACACATTCTTGAAGAACTTTGTAAGCGTCTGGTCTAATCTTGACAGTGTTAAAGTATCTCATTGAATCTTTACCCAAGAAATCCAATGTGATGGTATTATCCTTACCCAATTTAATATGTTCTACTCTGAGACTACAACAACCGACAGTATCAGCTTGATCTTCACCTTTTTCATTACCAACACGAAGAGCTAAAAAGTCAATAAGATAAAGAGCGACACCCAATTGACGTTTTTCTTCACTATCATTGGTAAAGGATTTGATGTAGCCTTTTCTAATACTTTCAATACAATCTTTGAGTTTTCTGGCAACTTCAAATTTCTTACGATCGGCTTGACCTTTGATCTTTGATGATGGAGCTAACCAAATATATTTTGTTCCACCATTGATACTTTCTTTCCAAAAGGCTAACCATGTAACTGTATTATCGTGAACAACATCTTTCCATTCATGACCTGGGATTGGTGATGGTGGTACGTTTTCACCTTTACCAATATTAATGGTAACATCGCTTGGATAAATACGTTGTTTAAGCATACCAGTTTTTGGATGAGCACCACGACCTAAAAACAAACCTGGTGGTTCGATTGTGAAGTTACCAATCTTTTCTTTAAATCCATCAATCATAGCAAAACCATATTTTTCTTGAAGTTTTTTCTTTTCAGCAGCTTCAGCATCTTTTTCATTTTTTGAACGAGATTTTCTGGTTTCTTTTCTTTCTTGAAGGAATGTATGGATGTGAGAGAAATCGCATTTTGCTAAATTCTTAATTGTTTTCTTTTGTTCAGTTGTTAACAAACCACGGAATTCGGCAAAAAAGTTATCTCTGAATGCTTCTTTCTTGACATGATCGGTTTCTAAATAGTTGGCATAAAAAGTGGCAACTTCTTCTTGTTCTGGTGTTAATTTAACTACTTTACCATCATAGAGGAATTTGGTACCATGTGGAATATATGCTGGTGGGAAAACTGGACCATTATGCGAAAGGGTTTGCCATTTTGGACCATCTTCATCACCTTCTTCTTCCCACCATCTATTTTTACCATTATCATCTTCTTCTTCAGTTTCTTCGATCTTTCTCTTTCTTGTGGTTTTCTTCTTTCCTTTTGAATCTTCCTCCTCTTCTTCTTCTGCTTCTTTGACTTTTCTAGTTGTAGTTTTTTTACCATTTGCAGCTGATTTGGTTTCTTTGGCTTCAGATTTAACCTTGGTAACTTTTTTGGAATCTGGTTTGGTTGTTGCTTTGGTAGTCGTAGTAGTAGTTTTTTTTACAACAGTTTTCTTTTTGCTTTTGTTGTCTTCTTCAGATGATGAGTCACTAGAATCACTTGATGATGAATCACTAGAATCACTTGATGATGAATCACTGCTACTGCTATCAACTGGCTTCTTTTTGGCTGCTGCCTTCTTTGGAGTTGTTGCGGTTGGTTTTGGTGAGTTTTTCTTTGATGATGCTGGTGATGGTTTCTTTGTTACTGCTTTCTTTGGTTTTTCATCTTCAGAAGATGAATCACTGTCACTAGAATCGCTTGACGATGAATCACTTGAGTCACTTGATGAATCACTGCTACTGCTGTCAATTTCTTTTTTAATTAGTACAGGTTTTCTGGTAGTTGGTGTGGTTTTAACAGATGATGTCGATTTATTTGTGGTTATAGTAGTTGTAGTTGTGGTTGTTCTAGTTTTGGGTGATGTAATATTTGGTGAGACTTTATCTAAAACGCCATTCTCTGTTTTTATTTTCTTATTGACAATTGGTGGAGTATCTTCGTCTTCGTCAATATCAGGTATCATTGATGGTTTTTTAACTATACCATTTTCTTTATTTATCTAAGATTTTTTAAATAAAAAAAAAAAAAATAATTAATATTGGTTTTTATTTCTAAATTTATGACAAAAAAAAAACTAAAAATAATTATTTTTAATTTTTTTTTGGGAATTTGTAAAATCTTGAAAATAACTACAAATTAATACATACAATTGGAGTTTCGATATCCATTATATTATTATTACTAACTTTATTATTATTTATAAAACTAAATAATTTAAACTTGATTTCTTTTTTTTTTTTTTTTTTCTATAGATTTCTTTATAGCTTTCGTGTGTTTTTTTTTATGCTGTTTTTTTTTTGTTTTTAGTTTTTTTTTTTTTTGTTTTTATAATTTTTAAAAAAAATATTTAATAATTATTATAAAAACAGAAATATTATATAGTAATAGGATAAAAAAAAAAAACAATAAATAATTATTAAAAAGGGGGAATTTAAATTTATTTAAACTAAATTAAAAAAAAAAATTTCTTTTTAATATTAATATTATATGGATATATTTAAATATATGTACTATATAGCCAAAGTAACAAATACCACACCAACAAAACAACAAATATTAAATATTTTTTAAATAAATAATGTATCCAAATTATTATTATTATGGTGCGGGTAACTTAAAAAAAATTTAAAAAAAAAAAAAAAAAAAAAATTTTGAAGTATTTGCCACACAAAAAAAAAACTTTAAAAAAATTAAAAAAAAAAAATAATTAAAAAAAATTAATAAAAAATTAAAAAAATTTTTTTCAAAAAAAATTATTTAACATCTTTTTTAAATTAATTAACTAAAACGAGTAAATAAAAATAAAGTTTAAATAAGGATTCTTATCAAACCATTAAGTAAAACTGGTTTCATTATAATTTTTTTTTAAAAAATAAACAATAAAATCTATTTTTTTTTTTTTTTTTTGTTCACCTTCACACCACCCACCCTTTTGCATGCCCTTTTTTTATTTAAAAATTATTTTAAAATTTTCATATGGCAAAATATTTCCCAAATGAGCTTGCTGAAGTTAGAAAAATTTAAAATTGATAATATACAGTATATTTTTATTTATATTATTATTCGGACCACAAAGAAGGAAACCAGTAAATTGTTTCGGTTGATTGGTCATCAATCCAAACCATTGATTCTTGCAATAAAAAGTTCTGTTTTTAAAAAAAAATAAAAAAAATAATAATTAGTTTTAATGAAACCTTTATATTTGGTTTATGAGTCATAGTTTGATGAAAAGATAGCTACCAAAACACTATTAATTCTATGGTTATTCCATTTTAATTTTTGTGAAATTTGAGATTCGGTTATTGAAGAGTTGTTTTCTTGGGCCAAAATAATGATATCGGTATGATCTTTATTTAATTCGCATGGTACAGATTGAACCAATTTCTTTTTATTAACTTTAATTATATTGAAACCATTACCTAAAACCTTTAATTTTGATATTGAGGTTTCAATATCATCTAGACTGATCTCTTGTGAATTTTTACCTCTTAATTTACGTAAATGGTCTGCTAAAATATTCATTTCCATTAATCCACCATTACTACCTCTATATTTTAAACATATCTCTATAATCTGAACACCTAATGTATAATAAAAATCACCAACACCTAAAACCTGTGACCAAAATCCTTTATTTGCTTTTTAAAAAGGTTAAATATGTCAATAAATTTATTAATTTGATATTATTATTACTATTGCTATCATTATAGAGTTATTGTTGTGATTATTATTGTATTATTATTACTATTATTATTGTTTTTTTATTTTCAGTTATCATTTATTAATACTTACATGCTAATGGATCAACACCAATCATATTACACATATCTTGAAAGTATTTACGAAACTCTGGGTTTTTGGTAATGTCCTTTTTATGTTTTATTGCAAACTGCTCTAAATTCTCTTTAAATATAACCAACTGTTCTTTTATTTTATTTATATTCTCTGTACTAATTTGGTCACTAACATTTTGTAATTGTTTTTGTGTTTGTGTTTGATTATGAACTGCTTGAATACCTACACCTCTTCTCATATTGTATTTTATTTATTTATTTATTTATTTATTTATTTCTAAAAAAAATATATGTAATTAAAATTTTTTTAATTTTTTTAAAATTTTTTTTTTTTTTTATTTTTTAATTTTTATTTTTTCATTTTTCCATTTTTTTTTAATCATAATAATCAATTATTTAAATAGTAAACAAACAAAATGAACTCGCAAGTTAATAGAATTATGTGGTCTTCGGATTTTATATACAGCAATAAATGGACTGCTACTTCACTTGGAAAAACTACCTATTTAGTATGTTTTTTTTTTATATATACCTCATTGCTCTTTTTTATTAATACCAACCTTTTTTATTACAGGAAAAAGATAATGGATTATCAATGACTAGAAATTTATACGAACCAACTGCATCATTCTTTTCGCAACAAATTTTGTTTTTAATATTTTTTATAGTTTTATTTTATTTCACCTGTTGCTAAAAACAAGATAAACATTTATTATATTAATTTTAAATTTATACTCCAAATATATAACCCACAATCGCCCCAAAAAACCAAACCAAACCACATAAAAAAAATGAAAATATAGTACATTTTCGTTCATTTGTAAATAAAACTCATCTTTAAAAAAAATAAAAATGTAAAAACATTAATATCCCAATTTAATGGGTATATTTTGTTTTTACATCCACCCATTATTATTTTTATTCTTTTAATTTTATTTTATTTTAAGATTTACCTCTTTTATTTATTTATTTATATAAATCCATATTTTATTTTATTTTATTTTATTTTATTTTATTTTATTTTATTTTATTTTATTTTATTTATTTTTATTTATTTTTATTTATTTTTATTTTTATTTAATTAAAACATTTTTTTTAAAATTTAAAAAGGTAAATCTTAAAATTTAAAATAAATTTTTATTTTTTTTAAATTAAAATAAATTAAAAGTTTTTTTATATATTTATATTTAATTCTTTATAAATTAAATAATAACCAATTTAGTAAATTTACTTGGATCTCAACACATTTTTTTAATAAATCAATTTAAAAAAAAAAAAACAATTAAAAATAAAATAAAAAATAAAGGTTTATATATCAAAATGTTTTTTTACTCTTTTTGTAAATTGTATTTTTTTTCTCATTGTTATATTTTTTCTTTAAAGTAAACAAATAATATAATAATAATATTTTTTCTATAATATATTAATAACCATTCATAAGTAAAGATATTGGTATATTAAAAAACAAAATTTTATTTAGCTTTTAATAATAATAATAATAATAATAAAATACAAAAAAAATAAATAAAAATGAGCTATAAAGAAGAAGTACCAAGCTCAGTTGTTTATACTACAACCTCATATAATGTAAATCCTTCACACCAAAAAGGAAGAAATAGATTAAAACTATTTCCTAGATTTTCAAAAAAGAAAGCAGCTCCACAACCATTAGTAGTGGATCATTCAGTTAAAATTACCCAGTCTGGATACGGCGGTGTAGTTTACCCTTCTGGATATTCAAATGAAAGACACCAAATTTCTCAACAAATTCCTGGTCAAGTAAGCAACTCATTTAGCCACTCTAGTAGTAGTAGTAGTAGTAGCTATGAAAATCCTAGAAGTGATAAACTAACCTATTACGAGTCAAGTTATTCACCAAATGTATTCAATCATGAAAAATACTATTGCCCACCACCACCAGTATCATCCTATTCATCAAACCCTATTAGAAGTAGCAGAGTTCAATGCCATCCCATTCAAACTGACCGTTTAAGATCCCATAGACAACAATATAGTGAAGATTCAAAACTATTAAACAATGGACAACAATATACTAGTTATGGAACAAATTCAAGTGGTCAAACATCAATTAATATTAATAATAATACTAACCATATAAATGAAGAGTACACAACAACTTCAAACAATAACTATCAACAGCAACAACATCAACAACAACAACAATATCAGCAACAACAACAACAACAACATCAACAATATCAGCAACAACAACATCAACAACAACACCATTCATCAACAACATATAACCAACCACCACCCTCAAATGTAGATTTTATTTACCCCCCAGGCTATTTAGAAAATCAAAACTCCTATGAATATCATGAAGAAAATAATCACTTTTCAACAAACCATCAACAAAACTATGAACCAGTTTATCCCATGGGAATGGAACAACAAAATTGGAATTTTTCTGTTCATAATATTTCTGATCCATATTCAAATAACAATTATTAAAAACATTAATAAAATTATTTATTCAACTCAAATATAATTTTTTTTTATTTTTTTATTTATTATTAATAAAATCTTTCATAAATTTTATTTATTGGCATTTGCCAAACTGTTCTAAAAAACTCTTTGTTTATTTATGTTGGTTCATATAAACTTGAAAACTTAGGAAAAAAAAAAAAGAAAAAAAATTTTAATTATAATTTGGTTGGGAAAAAACTTTAAAAGTTATTAAACCTTAAAGTTTAATAAAAATAATTTTTTATTAAATAAAAGAATTAACGAGGAATTTTTAAAGAAAAAAAAAAAAAAAAATTTTGTACAAGGAGAGATAAGTACAAAAGGGTTGGAGGAGAGTAATGTTATAGTTGTTGAAACTCTTCTTTGTTGTTATTTTGTTGAGGGTGGGTGTTTAATAATTTATACTAATTTAAAGTTAGCTTGTGGTTAAAATTAATTAGAAATAAAATATAAAATCGGAAAATTTGAGGGTTGTTGGGTTGTTGAGGTTGTGGTTGTGGTTTGAAATTTTGAAACAAATTGTAATAGTGAGTCTATAAAGTTATTTTTGTTATGAGTTATTATTATTATTTGGTTATTATTTAGTATTATTTGTTTCAAAAATTATAAACCTAATAAGATGAGTTTGCAACAGTAATAGTTGGAGTTATATTTAAAAGTTTTCTTAAATCGGACGACATTTCTAATAAATTAATTGGTTGTTGTGGCTGTGGGGTCACAATTTCGGTATTTGAGAAAAAGTCATCATCAAAATTTGGAATTGGAAGGGAGTTTGGTGCTGGACTATTGTTAAATGCACCACCAGCCCAATTAGATTGTGGTGAGGAAACGGTTTTTTTGGTTGGTGAGTTGGTTCGTGGTGGAGAGCTACCATAAGATTGTTTTGGTTGTGGTGAAACAATTTTATTTTGATAGTGTTGTTTCTTTGGTGTGGTATTATTGTTGTGATGATCATTATTTAAAGTGGTTTCCTAAATAAATAAAAAATATATATATATTAATATAAATTATTCGAAATTTAGAATTTTAAATAAAAAAAAAAAAACCGTAAATTAATTTTTAATAAATACCTTAATTGAAGCTGGAGTTAAAAGTATATCATTATTTTGTTTTTGGTGTTGACTAAAGTTTTCTTGTTGTTGTTGTAATTGTTGGTGGTATTGTTGATGTCTATTTTTAATTTGAAGATATTGTTGTTGTTGTTGTTGTTTAAGAGTTTTCATATCAATATTGTCATCGCCAGTGAGTTGGTTTACAGGTGGGAGCTTCTTTCTTTGTGGAGAGTATTTACTTTGAGCAACTGGTCTCTTCATTTTTTCATCTGAGCTTGGCATTATAAAGTATCCACCTTGGAATTCACCAACATCTGACTTTGCAACGACAGCATCTTGGAAGGTAGGCTTCTTTGGAGTATTAGATGATAAAGGACTTCTTTTATTATTTTGGTTACTGACAACTACTCTTTTATTTTCGACGTATTGTGTATGGTTATTATTGTTATTCATTTTTAATTATTATTTATTATATAATATACTATGTTTTGAATGATGAGAATGTATTTACAATGTTAAACAAATTTAGCCTTTAAAAAAAAAAATTCGGTCTAAAATTGTATTATTTAAAAAAATTAAATTATTTAAATTTATTGTTATTTGATATTTGGAATTTTATTTTGTTCTTATAGAATGTATTATTTTTATTATTATTATTATTTTATATATAAAATTTGGGTGTTATATAAAATTGCTTTTATATTTCATGAAATTTGTATAAAAAAAAATTAAATATAATAAAATGTTTTAAAAAAATTAAATGTCTTTTTTTTTTTATAATTGTTATTGTTATGAATAAAAAAATATTTTTATACAACAATAAATAATTTAAAAAGGTGAAAAAAAATTAATTTATATGTACAAGTGAATAAAAAACAAAATAAATAAATTTTTTTATATGTTGTTTGGTGGTGTAGGTTATTTGTTTGGTAGGTTTTATAAATATATATTGTATAAAAAAAAAATTATGAGTTGTTTTTTTTATATATATATACTATTTTAAAAAAAAGTGGTATGTAAAATTAATTATTATTACTATTATTATTAAATAATTTAATTTTTATTATTGGTTGTAATTTTATTAGTTATTATTTATTATTATAATTTCTATTAACGTCCCCTTAAATTAGTTTTTTAAAAATTATTATTATTTTATTATGGGGTTAATATTATTATTAATTAATTTTTTTTTTTGTTTTTTTTTTTTTGTTGTTGTTGTATTTGTTGAGGTGTGTGTATTTGCTTTTAGTTTGGCAATATAATGTGAAATTTTTTTTTTTTTAAAAAAATAATTTTTAAAATTTTAAAAAAAAAAAAAAAGAAAAAAAAATTAAAAAAATATTAAAAAAAAATTAAAAAAAAATAAAATTTTAAATTATTAAAAAAAAAACAAAAAATTGAAAAAAAATAATTTAAAATTATAAAAAAAAATACTGAAAAAATAAATAAAATAAATGATATATATGGCTATTATGGTGATAAAG